CGCCCAGGCTCGGCCTCACTTCCCTCCTCAGATACAGAGACAGCGCGCTGCACCATGTATTCGCCTGCAAATGGCACGTGGCGTGGGGCCTGCGGATCTCCCTTGTGCAGACAACACAATCCGCCAACTGGTTGCGCAGACTGTCCCCTCTGTCGCTCTCCCTGTGCGGTGATGTGGAATGAACAGGCTGCTGGGCGGGCTGCGCGTGTGCACGTGCCGAGATGGAGAGTGTAGGAGTCAGGTGGAGAATCGAGTGAGCTCGGTCCCCGAGCCGCCCCTGCCGGCCACATTCCGGGCGCCGGGAATCCTCTGCGGTCAGTGTCCCTGCGCTCTCCGGGAAGGTTTGGAGTGATGGTTGTTAATGCCCCACACGCACCCCTAGGCTCTGCTCTCCTTGCGGGCGCCGGGGCACCCACCTGCCTCCCACCCTCAGCACCAGCAGGGCGCCCGCTCCCGAGGGATGTCCAGCAAACACGTGCTGAGTGACGGGACGTTTCTCTGCAGCCAGACCCAGTCCCAGCCGAGCTGCCCCTTGCTGCTCTCTCCAGCCCAGGGAGGGCTGTGGCTATGTGTGACGGGGTCTAAGCAGGGGAGTGGGCATGGAGGCGAAGAAAGTTCTACACACATTTTTTGAAGATATTGGTGAAAGTAATGATTGTTCCATCGTTGTCAGAAACACGCAGCTGTCTCGCTGGGTGGCGATGTGGATGTATTGGTGTATTGGTCTCCTTGGCGCAGAGTGGCTGGCCACCTGTCATGACCCTGGGGAACGCTGGACCGAAGGATCGCACCACAGTGATTAGCACGTGGGGCACCTCGCCCTCCTGGCAGGGCATCAGCGAGAGGATCTTTCCAGCCTGAGGATCTGTCAGCACAGGATCCAGCCGAAATTGCGAAACTTGTCTTAGTTTCAAAAAGCAGGTGCTGCGGGGAGGCGGCTTTGCCCCAGGTCAGCGCGTAGCCTATTCTCTTTGAATCTTCTCCGGCAGGCGACGGCGTGTGAAGTGCAGAGCCCCAGCCTGCGGGGAGGCTCCCGGCGCGGCCTCTGGTGTGCTGGCCTGTGGCCCCTCCCTGGGCAGGCCGGGGACTTTCAACATGTAACCTCAATCTCAAGTCCTCTTCAGGACTCGCTTCCTCCCTCTTCGCAGGGACAAGAAGCATGGTCCAGAGCGGGGACAGTGTCGGGGCTCGGCGAGGAGTAGCAGGTAGCCCTGGTTACAGTCCTGCAGGTGGATGTGAGGAGGACAGGCTGGGCCCCCGCCCGAGCCCCCGCCCGCAGCACTTTTTGTGCCTGAAACCAGCTAATGTCGCCCAGATTGGGAGAGTTTGGGACCAAGGCATCAAACTGTTTTTTTCCCTGAAGCACAGGATGGCTCATGTGGCTTAATTATACTGTTCAAAAGCAAGTGAGCTGAGAGAGGAAACTGCAGAAGACAGGCCTGTACCCGGTGATAAAGTGTAATCAGTTTCCCATGTAGGAAGATTTCAGGCATTTACCCAGGTGCTGGGGGGGGGGACAAGGCAATTTTCAGTCTTCCTTCTCCTTCCCTTTATTTTTCTGATTCAGAAACCAGGCATCACAGAATCTGGGGATTGGCAGCTTGCTTAGGAGGGACACGATGGAAGAGGGAGAATTCATTTTGAAAATTATAGTCGTGCCTGAGACACAGGGCAGCTTTGGTGGCATCTGGGCAGCAGCTCCTTAGCAGCAAAGCCAAAAATCCCTCCTGAGTTTCCAGCCTGTGCCGCGGCCCGAGGCCAGCAGCCACATTCCCCACTAGATGCGTGTGGATATGTTAGGAGCATGGTTCGGAGCAGTCACTGAAATTAATTGCACAATTAGGTTTGCACAAATCATTTTTATTCCATAAGGGATTGGATCTCTTATATTTCCATGAAAAAAAACTTAGTCCCTCTGATTCACAAAGCAGGAGAAATGACTGGAGTACTTCGTAGCCAGTGTGTCGGCCTGCTGATCTGACAGCATGGCCTTCTACAAATCTTGAAATTCAAATGATTTCTTTCAAATACTCTAAAAATAAAAGTATCAAATCCTGAAATAATAAATACTAGAATATGCATCAGAAATATAAGTCTGTCTAGGGAAAGTGTATAGTTTTTTCAGTTCAAGAGTTAAAAAAAATGAAAAACGAGCCACGTCCACACACGTTGGCACATCCTTGCGTACGGAGAGTGGGCTGGGCCAGGGATGTGACGGGCTGGTAGAGTACTTGTTATTTGCAGGATGAGACAGTTAAAAGAATACCTTCTTATATGTCATCAGACTTGCTTTAAAGGCCAACCTGAAATCACAGAATTCTAGACTGGCAAAGCTGGGAGGGAACCTTAAATATGACCTGACTCGCGCTCTCTAACCAGAGGGGACCTGGAGCCAGTCTCCCAGGGCTAGTTAACAGGATCCTGAGTCGGTGTGGAGCCCTCAGGCCACGACCCCGCAGGAAGCAAACACAGCCAGGAACACGTGGATCCCTGTTCCATGTGTCGGGTCTGCCCGGTCCCAGTCCCCCCTGAGCCCCTGATTGACGCTGAAGGTAGGATTCACAGATGGAATGACCAGTATTTTTCTACTAGTGATTTTTTAAATAACAGTTTTATTGAGATATAACTCACATACCATGAAATTTCCCCCTTGCGAGTATACAACTCAGTGGTTTTCAGTATGTTCACAGACTTACACAACCGTCACCACGATCTAAATTTATAGCGTTTCCATCGCCCCGGCAGAAACCCCACACCTGTTAAGCAGCCACTCCCCGGTCCCCCTGCTTCAGCCCCTGGCGACCATTCATCTACTTTTGGTCATTATAAATTTGCATATCCTGGACATTCCATATAGATGGAATCATACAACATGTGACCTTTTAAATCTGATGTCTTTCACTCAGCAAATTTATTCATGCTTCAAGTTCATTCATGTTGTAGCGTGTATTAGCACGTCATTCCTTTTCATAGCCAGATACTATCCCATTTTATGGCTAGACTACATTTTGTTTATCCAGTGTCAATCCATGGGGATTCTAGTTGTTTATTCTTTTTGGCTATTATGAATAACGTACCATGGACATTTCTGTACACCTTTTTGTGTAGACATCTGTTTTCAGTTTTCTTGGGTATGTACGTAGTGTAGAATTGCTAGGTCATATGGTAACTCTGTGTTTAACCTTTTGAGGAGCTGTCAGACTGTTTTCCAAAGTGGCTGCACCGTTTTACATCCATCCCCAGGAGCATGAGAATTCCAGTCTCTGCACAGCCTCACTGACACTTGTTACTGTCTGTCTGTCTATTTTAGCTTTCCTAGTGGGTGTTACTGCTCCTGACTCTTAATCCTGTGGCACCTTCCGTGTACCGAAATGGTCTGTTCAGTCTTCACCTCTAGATTGTAAGCTCCCAGAGGACTGAGACTGTGTCTTAAAATCCCCAGTCTCCAGCCTTAAACATTTACTGAGTTGAGTCAAATGCTGCTGAGCCCACGGTTTGCCGTCACTTGCACACGCAGCCACCGTTTGACTCTCAAGTACGTGTGGGGTTCTGGCTGGAGACGGGTGCGCTATACAAAGAGGGATAAACTTGTCTTCAAATAAACAGCTTGGACTACGCAGGGTATTTAGAGAACAAAATGTAGGTAAAGGAAAGGAAATGTCAATGACAAATTAGGAGGCACATTTTTAAAAAAAGAGAAATTTGTTTTCAAATAATTTGGCAAAATAAAAACCAAAAAGTACATTTCCCTGGTTGTGGCCACTATGATAGGTAGCGAGACCTGGGTGCTGAGTCTCATGTGTTGTAAAAGCTCGTGTTGTAACAGCTCATCTCCCCCTGAAGTGAGGAGGGAGCCTTACAGTTGCTGAGGCCTGTCCGGGGCTGGGCTCAAGCCCCCTGTCACTCTGCTTGGTTCCATCAGCACATGCAGACATGCAGGGGCAGAACGTCCTCCTCTGCCGCCGGGACCACACCTAGGCCAGGACCTAATGCAGCCGGGACCACACCTAGGCCAGGACCTCATGTGGGGCTTGCTCAGGCCAAGCTACTTGACCTGAGAAAGCTGTATTCAAGAAAAAGAACTCACTGCCTGATTCAGAACTGGTGTGTGGTTCTAGAGGATTTTGAACATTTCCCCGTCTCTACCTTTCTTCGTCCTGCCGCCTCTAGCTGGAATGCCTGTTTTCACCCAGTTAGCATGGCCACATACTTTATCGCCCAAACCAGGACACTCTTGAGAGTACCAGCACAATTGGCAGAAGCCAGGACCGGCTGGGACAAACCAAGGCATGTAGTCACTTACCCCAGCCCCACGCACAGTTCTCTCCTCCAGGGGAGGTTCTACCTCCTCCCTGCTGCCACCCTCCCTAAAAAGATCTGCTCTCTCCTGCACGGAGCCCACACGTGTGAGGGGACCATTCTGCCTCATGGGCTGTCATCAGGGTCCCTGTCTCATCCTCCTTACTGGGTCATGGACTTCTCAAAATCAGGGACCAGGCAAGGGCCTTGGTACTCGAGAGGTGCTTACTAAATTCTCATGAGATTGAGGAAATCCTGCAGACTGAGAATCAAAGGTGAAGCGGGCCGTGAGTGAAGCCTCGCGTAGGTACCGAGGGCCTTGTCAGAGCACGTCCCGAAGGCGTTTCCTGGGGCTCTCCTCATCTTCCCTTCTTCCTTTGGATTTTCCCGCACAAAGCTCAGGATGTTGATACATACAGGTGAATGTATGTGGACAAACAAAAGTTCCAGTTGTCCAGAACTGTCCAGAAACTCTAATGAGTGTAGATTTCAGAATACCTTCCATCAGACCTTTCGGGGGCACGTCCACACACGGTGGCTGTGATTGGGGTTCAGAGCCGTGACTTCTGAGTCATTTCTAATTCAGACCCTTACCAGTTTGATTCCTTCCGGTCCAGACCCTAATCTACCATAGTTGCTTTAATGGAAACAGCATTTAGATGTCGTTACGGAGCTGACGTCTTCCCTGCTTCTGTCCCCAGGATCAGTACAAGTTCTGCTACGAGGTGGCCCTGGAATACTTGAACTCTGGCTGACGGCGCAGCAGCCCCCGGACACGCCCGGTCACACCACAGAGCCACGGCGCTCCATGGCGTTTGTGCGGAAGAGACGAAGACTTCTCAATCTGCTTATTTTGCTTTGCATAATTGGCTCTTTTTAAGAGCCCAGGAAAGTGTTTCTAGAACTGCTTGCACTGCCCAGTTCCCAGCCATGCCGCTGCCTGGCAGAAACACGCGCAGCACACACAGTCGTCAGATACTACTCCCCGTCGCCGGCTTGTTGGAGCAGCGTAGACATCTGGTCAATTGAAGAGCACAGTTATATTCTTATGAAGGAATTTGTACCTTTGGGGAATTATTTTGTGGCCTGTGATCCTTTGTTATTGTCACAGCTGAGTGTATGTTTTTGTTCTGTGGAGAATGCTCCCTGGCATTATGATAATATATTATTTTAGGGAATATTTGTATTTTAACATGTTGCATAATATATGCTTCTGTAGCTTTCCAGGACTAACAGATGATGTGTATTAAACAGAGATATGTTGTATGAGTCGTTCCTGTCAGATTTGTATTGTTTCCAAAGGAAAAGCTTGGGAGGACTCAGTTACAAAAATGCAAAATTCAGTGGTCAGAGTCACGGATCCAAAGCTTTTCCATTTGTTTATATTGTAAATATTTTTGATTTCATCAAATTATTTATTCATTAAAAGAAATTTTTGTGAAGCACAGTGAGTGACAATCATTTTTATTAAGCCCTGGAAATGATTTACTGTACGATGTTACCTTGTGTGAATTCTCAACTCAATAAACGATGACCCGTGAGCAGTCGTGGCGTGTTCCTGGTGTCCAGCACGCAGGTGTGGAGGCCGCGCCTGCCACGCCAGACCACTGGGGGAGAGAGCGCAGCTGGGGTGTTTGCCTGGAGCAGGTACGGTTGGGATTTTTGAGAGAGAACTTTTGTCAGTGAGAGCTCTAGGCCCAGCTCAGTCGCCGGCCCTGGTGTTGGGGAAACAGCCCCGTGAGCGTCCACATGGGCCACGAATCTGGCCGGCGGGGCAAGCACCACGCAGGGACTTGCAGACCGGAGCAACTCTTCCTTTCCCTGTTTCACCGCAGTCAATGGGGGATGATATCTGCCTTCTCCGTGCCTCATCCAAACCCAAAACTTGCTGAGAGAACAACTGTTAAAGCGTTAGAGAATCAGAGTGTGTGTAAGCAGGACAGAGAGTTCCAGCCAGAGGGGAAAGACCATGGCAGCCCAGCCAGCTCCGCACCCCGGGGGGCTCTGACCTCCAATGCAAAAGGCAGGTGTGCCGTGGCCTTACAGCTTAAATTTAAACCGGGTTTTAGGCTATGTTGAATGACCGACAAGAGCTAATGGAGACGAACCTTTACAAACCCCAGTTCTGTGCCAGACGCGGTGCGAGGCGCTTTCCCATGGGGTAGCAGGTCCTCCCTCAATGCGATCCGGGTACAGTTAGGGATCCCATCTGACCAATGAGGAAACTCGGCTTAGAAAAGACTAAATAACTTGTCCAAAGTCACACCAGCTAATAGATGCCAAATGCCCTCAGAGGCCACAGGAGGTGGAGGGACAGCCCAGGGTCGCCCTGCACCCTGCTTCCAGCAGAGAGGCGCAGCAAGGCCCACATGCTGACACAGGGACACTGGCCCCACCACCCACCAGAAAGTGGAGGGGGCTTGAGACCATTATTCCTGCCTGCTCTGGGGATCTTGGTGACCAAGGGTGACAGGATCGAGGCTGTCACCAGGAAGACTGAAGTGGACATCTGCACCGCAGGCCTCCACGACTTTGCTGTCCTGTGAGCAATCCACACGCCCCTGGTTGGTATAAGTTTGCCCAGGCCGCTCCTTAAAGTGGTGGGGCTCTGAGCCTGCGCCGGACACCTCACACTCGGGCCCCTCCCAGGGGACAGCCCTCGCCACCCACCCACTTCCCTGCAGTAAGCTCCCACGGGCTGGGAGCTGCTGTTTTTGTCCGTACCTCTTCCGAGTGATTCCTCCAGGATGTGGGGACTGGGATAAACACACACGGACGCTGCACCCTCGGTGGGCGAGCTGGGCCTCGCCTGGGAGCCTGGTGAGGCCCCGGGCTCTCCGCTCTGATGTCGTGGCCCTGGGCTCCGTCCCCTTGGCCTGGGTGAAAAGAGAAGTCGTCTTAGCATGGCACGGAAGTGACCTGAGACTTGCGAGTCTAATGACACTACCCATTTTCCAGCCAATCCCTCCATTATCGAACCCTCGTCTCACTGTAAAGCTGGTAGTTTCCTCTAGACTTTTGAATCTCTTGGATTTTTATCTTTCTTTCACTGTTTCACTTCTTAGCACAAATAGTGATCGAAGAGAAGGGACATTTTGTGGCTTTTTCTGATTTCCCATGAGGCCTCGCAGCATGCTTGAGATCTGCAGCTTCCAGTGCACAGCGGAAGTCACTGCCGCTCACAAACAATAGAAGCCGACCTCTTGGCTGAGAGTCCCTCCTGCCTTCTCCCCGTGCCCTGCGGGCCTCCCTTGTGGCGTCCTGAACCTCCCAGACACTGCGATGCGAACCTCACAGACTCTGACCGCCATGAACGCCAGAAGGTCCTGCCCTGACGGGGTCCTTTTCCAAAGATGACACCATAACAGCATTTCGTGATGCTCTTGTGTTAATAACATGCCAGCGTGGCTAGACCAAACTACATTTCCAGAGCCCCGTCTTCTGCGTATCCCAGGTAGGGTGGGCATCCGCACTCATGTGGTGCAAGACGCAGAGGCAGATGTGGGGCAGCAGCTGTGCTGTCTTTTGCACTCGGGAGGGGGAGCAGCTGTGGACCCAGCTGCTGCCCTGTGCCCCCAGGAGAACCAGGAGATCGCGGACAAGGCAGGAGCTGCCCCCAGCACTCTCCTCGGGGTCCTTCCAGCCTCTGCTCACAGGCTGCAAACTCACGCCTGTATCTTTAGGTTTCGTTGAGGCAGCCTAGATCCAGGTACCAAAATATGCATCAGTCGCCTACTGCCGAACAACAGATTGCCCCAGAATTTAGATGCTTAACTCAACAACAGACATTTATTATCTGACACAGTTTCTATGGGTCAGAAATTCAGGCGTGGTTTAGCTGGATGACTCTGGCTCAAAGGTCGCTCATGAGATGGCCATGACAGTGTGGGGTCAGGGCTGCAGCCATCTGAGAGCTTCACAGGCTGGGACTCTGTTTCTAAGGTGGCTCACAAACCTAGCAAAGTGAGGCTGTGGCGGGAGGCCTCAGTTTCTCCCCACGTGGCCTCTCCACATGGCTTAACTGTCCTCACAGCACGCTGCTGGCTTCTCCCAGTGATCCAAAAAGTAGCAAGGCAGAAGCTGCAATGCCTCTTAGGACCCTTGGAAGTCATGTTCTGTCATTGCCACAATGTCTTGTAGTTTCCAAAGTCAGCCCGAGTCAGCGTGGGAGGGGACTATAGAAGGGCACAAATACCAGGACATGAGGATCATGGAGCCATCTGGGAGGTTGGCTGTCACCTGCCAGGCAGCTACTGACCTCCCGCATTGGCCTGCACCTCGGCACGCGCAGGCCGGTCAGCTGGGGCAGGGGAAGTCTCGTCCTGAAGGGTTTGGCCTGCCCAGCAAGGCCTGTCATACTGTCCTCCCCTGTCCTGCCAACTTCTGACAACTGCTGACAACACTCCCAGCCATTTGCAGTATGCCTTAAGGAACCCTTATTTTGTTATAAACAAACTTGATTAACACAAGGCTCCCTTTCCCCAAATCCCAAGGAAATGTCCCTCTCTGAAATGCTCTCGAGCAGAGAGAACTCATTCTTCCACATCCCAAATATTTCCTCAATTTCAACAACCACCCTTCATACTCCACCTGAGATGATGGCTACACCCTGCAGCCTGTCAACTTGTCACCTTGAACTGCCACTGCCTCACCCCTGAAATCTTTTCTTTTTTGTTTCTTTTTGTTGTTGTTGTTGTTAAAGACAGGGTCTCACTCTGTCACCCAGGCTGGAGTGGTAGTGGCGTGATCATAGCTCACTGCAGCCTCAAATTCGTGGGCTCAAGCAATCCTCCCACCTCAGCCTCCAAGTAGCTGGGACTACAGGTGCACACCACTATGCCCAGCTAATTTTTTTTTTTTTAAGACGGAGTCTCGCTATGTTGTCCAGGCTGGTCTTGAACTCCTAGCCTCAAGCCATCCACCCCCTTGGCCTCCCAAAACGCTGGGATTACAGGCATGAGCCACTGCATCTAGCCTTTAATAAACGTACCAAATTCTGACCCCAGCCTCTTCAACTGCTAGCTTTCTCTCTTATTCCTTTATCCTTGTTCTTTGAAATTATGAAAACTTCTAGTCCATGCTACCCGCTTCTTACCTTCTCCCCAGAACAACCCAAGCCCCATAATATATCACTTCAACCCCGTTTTACCAATACCCTCAATACCCTTGACACCCTAAAGTTCAATCATATCCACCCTACAAATGGTCAGCTTTAGAGAAATCCCTCTGGGACTTTCAATCCCAGTCTAGGGTAACAAAGCCCAGATTTACCCTCCTAAGTGAAACATCTAAAAAACTGGAAAAACTGTATTTTTAAAAATAGCATGCAAGATACCAGACATCAGGCAATGAAGGACACTGATCTCCAAGAAACAGGAAACAAATTTGGGGATCCCTAATGTTGCCCTCAGCTTATGACCTGGAGAGAATTTCCAGACCATGATTGCAGCAATGGGGAAGCCAGGTGGGGCCCAGTGGTCTCCCTCATTTGAGGAAATGGACCTCAGGGCTCAAAAAGGCCCAGGTGGCCGGGCGCAGTGGCTCATGCCTGTAATCCTAGCGCTCTGGGAGACTGAGGCGGGCGGATCATTTGAGCTCAGGAGTTCGAGATCAGCCTGAGCAAGAGCGAGACCCCGTCTCTACTAAAAATATAGAAAGAAATTAGCTGCACAACTAAACATATATAGAAAAAATTAGCCGGGCATGGTGGCGCATGCCTGTAGTCCCAGCTACTTGGGAGGCTGAGGCAGGAGGATTGGTTGAGCCCAGGAGTTTGAGGTTGCTGTGAGCTAGGCTGACGCCACGGCACTCACTCTAGCCCGGGTAACAGAGTAAGACTCTGTCTCAAAAAAAAAAAAAAAATGGCCAAGGTGGGTAAGATTTGTAAGGAAGAGCATCAGGGATGAGAGACCTGCAGAGAGAAACAATTCTACAGATCTTCAGAGTGTCCCCTTCAAGTCGTCAGCTAAGTACTGATCAGAACGAGCATGGAACGAATTTACCTGAGGCCAAAGAAAGAACCACCCAAAAAGACTAGAAGGAAGAATATTTAGAGTTCATACAGGCCAGAGTAGTTTCTGTTTCCATTGAACAGAGAACCCAGAAGGATTTTAACTCAGTAAGTGGGGCAAAATTATCTCTAGGCTAAGTACAGCTGTGGTCCTGCCTAACAATTGAAGGATCAAACTGTTTCCAAGTAACTTGACTGCACCAAAGAACAAAACTCAAGAATATTTATAGGAATACAAAAATATATAGC